ATAGTTCCTTGAATTGAGGATGACCCTTACTATTCCAGCTGGCAAGATCTTGTTGGTGTCTCGCACAGTCAGTGTGCAAACCAACAATATGGTCACAGTCCTGCCAGGTTGCAGTCAGAGCTGGCTTGGAGCCGTAGTCCTTTCAGGCTTGCTTTGGATGCATGAGCATGCTTGATACCGTGAATAATTTGCCCTTGAGTCATGCAATGACATTGAGTATTAGTACCTTTATTATCCCATTCCTGAGTAGGTTTTAGCCGTGGTTTATGCTTTGTTCTCTGGAGCATTCTTCTGAACCAGTCAAAAATTTTCCATGCCACGTACACAGGTGCTGCATGTTTGTAAATATCTTCTTTTTTTTGCTGCTAACCAACTAGTTGCCCTCAAGTATGATTCTGGGCATCGCTCGCTCAAGGCACCCCTCCATATAGGCAGTACGAGGAAGACTACATCAGAATTGTCATCTGCCCTACAGAGGTCTCTTAACACTGTCCCATTGACTAAGTCACCAAGCTTATGTCCTTGCATTTTATTGTATGTCCCCTAGCCTTGTCCCATTGCAAGTAATACAACCTTGCCATCACAGGATAAAAGCTTTAGTCCAGCAGGCCATGGCGCATCATCTGTGAATTCAGACTTAATTACAATGAAATAAGAGCAAACTGTAGTAATTGCCTCCAGGTACCACATGGAGGTGAGAGGAAAAGCCAGGCCAATGGTGATGCCAAGTGCAGTCATGCTTTTGCTAAGGGCAGTCATGGATACATGTCATTTTGGGCCATTTGTCCTGGCATTGTCCTCGCTGAATTGAATGCCTTTAGCAACGTAAAGCTAGCCTTGAGGTATCTCTAGTAGGCACCTTAATTCTATAGATACTATCACTCACCCTTTCTCACTAATATAATTCTCTCATCAATAACGTTTTGCTCCTGGCTGCGATACTTGAAGGTGATTAGGAAGTACAGAAATTGGGGATACATCAATTGTATTGGTATTTTGTGCAAATGTAAGATAATGCATACGCTAACAAGCTTTCCTTTTGCTCTTCCTCATTACTTAGATCAGGATCTCCATTAATTTACTTTTGTCTCAGAAAACCGAAATCAGGGACCAGTTTCCTGTTAGACCAACACGGAACCGCTATAGGCTATCTTGAAAATAGGTAGACTGAAATAGCGCATTGCACACACTCGTCAGTGTGTTGTCGCAGAGGTGCTACAACAAGGCTGCTGATGAATTGCAAAATGTTTACAAGCTGTGTATCTTTTGTAGCTGCACATGTCTGCTTTATGATCCTTTTGCATCAGTTATTAAATCTGCAAAAATGTTCATCACAATTGCTCTGTAATAGTTTTTCTCCAGCTTGTACCTGTTGAACTATGTGTTTAGATGCAATTTATGCACATCAGTCTGCCTTTCTGCACGCAGAAAGCCTTACACAATTGGCACTGCAGACAGAAGCATACAGACCATTTTGGAGTAAATTTTGCCCCTAAATGGTATTCAGTATAGAGACAGTTTATCTTCAGTCTGCGCAATGAATATGGTGTAATTTACACAGCGCAGGCAAATAACTGTAACATATTATAAAATTTAATTGTACATATCAAGCTAATAAAAATCAGGAGCAGGACCAAGCATTTCCCAATAGATATCCAGACAAGAGCAGAAAATCTTCTCAATATATCATAGCACAGATATTGAACTTAAATATTTTATGAACTTGTACTCTTTGTATAAAGATGGCGTTCCAAAGATATATGCAGAACTGCTGGATTAAAAGTAACACAAGATGAAAATGAAAGTTTTTTAAAAAAAAACATCAAAAGCAAGAGAAACACTCGTAGTTGTTCAGATCCTGTATTTCATTGTGCAGTCATGGCAGGGCTGGAAGTTGTACCCCAGAGTGACTTCACATTACCAGGAGACCTTTAGAGTGAACAGCAGTTCCCATCTCAGCTGGAGGCTAACCACCTCCCTCCCTTGCAGAAATAGGTTTTGCTGAGAAGTTTACAGGAGTATATCAAAAAGATAAACTGTTCTCATTACTTGTTGTGCTATAAATGGATGAAAAAAATATGATATGCATAACTGACCAAGGTTAAAACTTCCAAAACCTGTGCAACGTGTGTTTTGGCTCTTAGTCATGGGCAAAAGCAATTCCCTTTATGCCATAAAACTCTTTATGTATTTTACCATTCTGTCTTGGGTTACTTTTATATTATACTTCTGATTGTACTGCAGAATATTAAGACTGAGGTTATAAAATGAAGTATGCAGGTGGTCTCCAGTTTTCCCAAGAAACACTGTGGATATTAGCAGCAGTTACAAGAGGAGGCAAAATAATTTTTTTTAATCTTCAACCTGAAAAAAATTGTTGACAAGAAAAAAAAAGAAGTGGAATCCAGCACAATAAGACAGAGAGCAGTGACTTGAAAAGTATTCGAAAAAAGACAATTTGATATTTGCAGCACAGTGAGAAAAGGTTGTGGACTTGCTTATGGCCATGCATGAGGATTTCTACTTCGTGATCTGTGAATTTAAAATCTGTGGAGCAAAGAATTATGTTCAAGCAGCAACACTGATGTTATCCGTGGTAATATAAAATTACTCCTTCAAAGCAAAACCCTTGCTATTTTCAATATCTGCTGTGGCTCAAAGCTAAAATATGCATTTCTGTAATTTAGTCAATGGATATTTTTTACAGGTAGTATTTCTGTGAATATGTTCTTCATTATGCTTTCCTAACAGCCTGACTCTAATCCCCGAGTTTCAGCACCCAGCATGTTGTCTAGGTGGTCTAGAGCAGCATCTCTTTCTCTCGTTTATGCCAAAGTCATGATGATCTTGTAGCTACCTTTAGCGTCTCATCACTAACGTCTCCTGGGCCATGAATTCTCACAGGTAGCCCTGTCCAGCTGCCCACATTTCAGGCTCTACCATATTGTGTCCTTCCAGTCATACTGTCTGATCTGGTTTGCTCTGGGACAGAAGCGGGGAGTCAAGCACATAATCTCACCCGCTTTGTGGGAACAGATGGAAACTGAGGCCCTTTCAGACAGGTCCCAGCGAGAGGAAGTGGCACGAAACAACATAGGTGGCAAACGCGTAGCTACTGAACATGTGCGGATCCTGGTGTGGTGTGGGGCTCTGCGTGTGGGTTATACTTCCTGGGCTGCCTTTTAATTCATTTTTGATGCTCAGCTTACCTTTCAGCATTGATATGCTGACATGCTACGTATTTTTAAAGATAAAGCACAGGTCCGAAAGGTAGCATTTGATTTTCTACATACAGTCACTGAAATTCCACTAAATACCTTCCACAGCCATCTTCACTGTCTTAAGGGTGGAGCCTGGTCTGCCTGGTGTACCTTGTCTACCCAACTCTACCTCACCTTTAGCAGCACTGAATAATGTGGGTTTTTTCAGCTGACCAGGGACCAGGAATTTGGATGAGTTGCAGTGATCCACAGCAAAACCTTGGAGCTGTTGGCCTCAGAAAGGTGTAAACGATCTGTGGAAGTAGCTGGTTTCTTCCACTCAGAGGCATTTGTTTCTCTGCTCCTGGGTGGCCACGGATAAACAACCCCCAGTCCAGAAGACTCAAAAGGAAAAGAACAGCCCCTTTTGCTACGATGCTGGCTCTTCTTAGGCCAATATATGAATTATTTCTTTTTTGCTTTGATCATGTTGTCTGTCTCTCTGCTAACTCCAAAGAGGTTACTGTGATAACTCAGGGGGAGGGAGAGCTGCTCTCTCCTGTGCGATTTCTCCCTGCCCTCCACCACCTCTGCAGATGCAGAAAGCAAGAGCCAGCTGTTCTCCACAACATGCTTAATCACCCTGAGCAATGGACTGCCACAGCCATAACTTTTATGCAAAGAGAAATCAAGACCTGTCAGCTTCAAACATCAATGATATCCATGTGAAACAGGAAAGTGAAAATTTTTTCAGAGCAATTCAGTCTCCACAGCAAGTGGAGGTGGAAGAAACATTTATTTTTTCAAATGCTCCCCTGGGCAGACTGTGAAAAGGAAGCAGAGACTTTGCAGACAGTGAATGAGGAGGCACTGAAATGAAGGGGCAAATGCAGGAGAATGTTTTTTGCATGCACTTACGTGAAACTTTTTGTCAAATCTACTACTTCCTAAGAGAAAGTACTGTTACTCATTGAATGATAGGCTGAACTAAATGAAAATGAACACGACACTGCTGCATTTGAGGTCAACACCCAGTATGGCATCACATAGAGACTTTGCTGGAAGCATTTCAGTTAAAGGTCTTTGAGAACAAGTATCATCATTTAGAAGCATAATTTCTGCCATACGACAGCATAATTCGTCGTAGATCAGCAGTTGCACCTTGAGCTCAGAACCACCTCTGTGAAGGACTGGAAGCTCTCCTTGCTCAAGGGTAACAGGAAACTTTCCAGATGGAACTCAAATTGCATTTTAAAGAACGTGTGATGGAAGCTTTTCCAAATGGATCAAGTCTTTAAACAATTTCACAAGATCTATGTTACTCTCCAGTGTTCATTTGCAAGCCTAGACTCTGTGAAGTCCATCATCTTCCACATGAATTCTCCAAAGAGTTAATTCTGCTTACAAAGTGCTGAGATCAGAAGTTATCTAAAGCTCATTGTTTACTTTGAAGAATTTCTATAGTGAAAAGTAAGGTTTTGCTGGGTGAAAACACATTATAATATTTTTGATACCAAGTATTTTAGTACTTAACATTTTTCTGTTGAATGTATGAAGGATTTTTTCCCCTCCTTTTTTCCTATGAGAGTTGTAACTTCTTTTCTAGTCACCCCACCTAACTAACAGGGTGGCTAGAGACACCTTACTGAGTATATGGTATATTCTTCGATCAGAATAGTCTTTTTGTATTATTAAATTGTAATGCTCAAGTCGAGATGACTGTTGTTGGGGAGAAACTGCAAGGAAAGGCTTTGCTCCAAGTTGTCATTCTAACTATTGCTTCTTTTTCTCTGCTTTCAGAGGCTGGCAACAAGAAGCTAAAGAGCACGATACAGAGAAGCACAGAGACAGGAATGGCAGCAGAGATGAGAAGTCGTATGGTTCGACAGCCAAGTCGGGAATCCACTGATGGCAGCATAAATAGTTACAGCTCCGAGGGCAAGTAAGTGGCATGAAACGTATCAGTAATGTAGGAGAAGTTTCTTGTCTTTGCAAGAAAACTTGAGGTGTGAAGAGAGGTCCCAACTCTGGCTGAAGGGGATACCTCAGTGTACAGATTCTTCCTCTTGAAACATTTGCAAAACTGAACTATTTTAGGCACATAACACAAATTTCTCGGAAAACAAAGTTAAGAGAGGACTTCACATTTTCCCTGTCATCCAGTGAGGCATTTTGTTCATCAAAAGACGACTATATTCCAACCATGTTATTCAAAACAAGACATAGGGGTGCTTTTTCTTTGAGTTATGTTTGGATTAACTCAAGAGTTAAACTTCAGATGTTGTGTGTAAATCCCTGTGATATGAAACTCTGTTCAGTAATACTGTATACAAAGAAAGTTTAGTTTGGTGTTGGTCCAAGTGTCTCATTAGAATTGTAAACCCAGAGTCCAGCTGCCCCATCAGCTGAGATCAGGCAGACAACTGTGGGGAATGGGGCAGCTGTTTTCATTCACTGCTGAGTGACTTGCTGTGTAGGAAAGGAGAACAAAGGCAGATCTGACACAAAAGTGTGCATGAATACTCAGTGGGAATTGACCGTGTGTGCCAAGGCACAGTGGTCATTGGGGAATTCTTAGAAGATGCCTTCTTACAAAAGGGGAAACCTGGGCTAGGCAAATCCACCCTATAGACCTGGAAAAAATAAGAGATTGGGATGACTTTGGCTTCATCTTTATATATGCTTACTGTGTTACCACATTGCTACTTCACCTTGAATAAACAAAGAGCCAGGGGCAGCCATGATGGTGGCAAGGAGCTGTGTAAAGGTGCAGTTTCTCCATCATCAGATGGTCTCACCACCCTTACTTCTTTACAGTGAGAGTGGTGAGACACTGGAACAGGTGCCAGAAGTTGTGGGTGCCCCATCATTAGAAGTGTTGAGGGTCAGGTTGGATGGGGCTTTGAGCAACCTGGTCTAGTGGAAGGTATACCTGCCCATGGCAGGGGGGTTGGAACTAGATGATCTTTAAGGTCCCTTCCAACCCAAACCATTCTGTGATTCTATGATAATGGTTTGATAGAGTTACCAGCTCTTCTGGTTGATTCCTGATCCTCAGTATATACCTCAGATTCATTTCCTGACTCCAAACCCATTTTGCACTTGACCTTAGCCTTAAGCACTGTCCCTGATCTCCACATCCCTATTCCAGTCCCTGGCAAGAGTGAAGAAACAGCGAGGCCAGTGAAGTGAGAACACCGCCAGCATCTAACAGTGACTCTGAAGGGAAGCCCAAGAAAATGGGTCAAAGGAGGCAGATAACAAAACTCAGGTGAAACAGTTAAGTGTATCTTGTCGCAGTGAAGGAAGACAAATACTCCTTAAACAGGACACAAGGCCATAGGAAAAAGGGATGACAGAGGGCTCTGTTCAGTGTGGTGCTGTACTTTGTGGCTAGAAAACTTCTCCAAATTCTTCTGCTTTTCTATGATTTTGTGGTTTAGCTATAGATCAAATGTATAGATGCTCTGCAAACTTGCTTGAGTTTCATAGAATAGTGTTAGTTTACAGCAGCTCTGAGTTTAGATCACAATGAATGAAGAATGTTAAATGCAGAGATTCTTGTAAGAAAGATGACCAATAAAGCAATTTTCTACTGTTTGGTTGCTTCCCCCACGTGCATCACCGGCTTATTTGTAGAACATGAGTTGGACACAACTGCAAGGTGGAGGGGGGGCTATACAACTGCATCACATTATTAGGGTATATGCACTGTCCCAGATGATCCTAAAAGCCTCTCCTGCTCTCCCTCCTTCTTCTGGGCATTTTTCAAACATTAGAAATGTGATCTTTAACTTGAGATGTTATTTCTAGTGTGAGTGTGAATCAGTTTTTGATAGCACCTTGTATTCCGACTTCCCCGGCACTTGAACAATGAAGCTGTTTGTTAGTTTTTTCCTGTCTCCTGTGAGATTCCCATCAAAATCAGTGAGAGCTCGACTTTGGTTGCTTGAGTAGTATTTTGCCTGCAGTTTGCTCTTGACATTAATGTAGACGAGTAATGATGACAATTAGGAAACGCTTATGTTAAGCTTGCACAGACTACTTTACCTTCCTCGCATGTGTGTACATTACCATACTGACTTTCCTTCCAGGATCACATAGTTTATGGACAGTATCCTGCCTCGTCCCGCATTTCATAAGACCAATCAGATGCATAACTCAGCTAATAATGTGTATTCCTACAGTAGGTACCCCAGGTACCTCGTTATGTTCCTTCTGCTTTACCCGTAATTGTAGTTTAATGAATTAGAATGAATGCACATTAAGGTGAATGTGTACTTCACGACCATCATTATTATGTGTAGAGTTAGAGGTGTCTGAAAACTGAGAAGGCTCTCGAGTGTCAACATTTTCAATGTTGTTAGTTATTCCATAGCAAAATGTAGCACATTTTGGGGAAAAAGGCCACGGAAATGAGCAAGAAACTTTTCATAGCAGTGGCAAGAGTGAATGGGTAGTGCCACTGGGGAGAGAAGCCGATCGTGTGTCTTATTGGGAAGGGTAAGCTTGAAGCTGCATCTTGAGGTTCGATGAATGTTGTAACTGGTGGGCTGATGGTTGAACTAGGGATCTCGAGGTTCTTTTCCTCCTACATCTAAAGAAACCACCTTAAAAAAAAAAAAGATTTCTTGAAATTAAACTTCTGTGAAAAGCTCACCATTTGGTAAATCAGAGGTTTCTAATGAAAAGCACTGTGCTGATGTTTTCTGGCCAGATTTAGTTACAGGCGATCTATGTGTTTATATATAGGCATAGTAAGAGCAGTTAGTCTTGAAGAGAGGATTGGGCTTTTTCTATCCAACTAAATGAGGTTTGCAGAGTTTTCGGTGTGAATTGAATGACTGGAGCACATAAGCCTGATCTGTGGAAATCAAAGCTTTTCACACTCGATGTTTTTATTAGGAAGTTTTGTTATTGTTTTCTCTAGTCTAATAGGGAATTTCTTTTGAGGGACAAGCAGACAGAGATTGGTGGATGGCCTGCCAGTTAAGATGCTACCTAGACTTGGTTCAAAGTCTGTTCTTCTATTCCTCATAATTGTTTGGAGACTGCATATCTATTAAAAAGAAAGTGGAGATTCTGGAATACTAGAGAGCAGCTTGGAAAAGCACATATCATAGAATCATAGAAATTTGGGTTGGAAGGCACCTTTAAAGCTCATCTAGGCCAAGCCCTCCCCTGCAATGAGCAGGGACATCTTCAACTAGATCAGGTTGCTCAGAGCCCCATCCAACCTGGCCTTGAATGTTTCCATATGTTCTGCGCGAATGTATTACAGTTCAGTTTGTGTCCTGAAAGAGGGGTAGGTGCCCACTGTAGATCTAGGTGTGGCTACCAGAATATTTTGGCTAGGGAGTGGCATTAGGTTTGGCTGTAATCAACACTAGTACTACCTGCCAGTTTACTGCTTCATTAAACAGCTGCAGCAATCAGATTAATTTAGTGTATGCATGTTTTCCCTGTTTGTTCTGACTAAGGCGGATGGGGTTTGAATGTATGTATAGATATAAAACAGTATTACATGGTAAATCAAGCACTGAAGAATAAAGAATGACAGGCTATTAAATTTCATGAGGCTTTTTATGTTTTCTCATGCAAGGTCACTCATAGTTTATTCACCTATCAGGCTCTTCACTTCTTCTGGAGAGTTCCTTAGCAAGAACTGTTTTACAGGCTACTTTAGGCCCATGTGCAGAATTTCACTCCACTTCTTTGGGGTCCATGGGAGACAGCTCGTTCTTGATGCTGCAGAACAATTTGTGGTTGCACATCCTGAGCTGCTTACCTTGTATCAGTAGTACTTTTGAGGCAAATACTGTAGGACAATAGAAATTAATCCTGGTCTTATGCTTAACCAGCTTTTATTTTGCTTCAGCTTAATATTTCCTGGAGTACGGCTGGGCGCTGACAGTCAGTTTAGTGATTTCCTCGATGGACTTGGACCTGCACAGTTAGTAGGACGACAAACGCTAGCAACCCCTGCCATGGGTAAGAAGAATATGTTCTCTTCTGTTAAGTGAATAATAAGCCTATTAACTAACGCACACACTGCCAGACTACAGCACCAAAAAGACTTTTACAAGGTGGCTTCCTTCACTGTGAACCTGGAGGTCCTATGCACAGTCACTGGTATTCCTAGTGTGCTAGCATCCAAAATGGGGTGAGAAACAGTATTTGCTCCATTCGAGGTGTCAGCTAATCTCATTTGCAATTGGAAGATAGGGGTTGCACTTACTTCCAACTCAAAATTATTGTGGTGTCTCCAACTGTAGCTCACTGCAAAATCTCAGCTGTTCAGTTTATATTTACTTGCCACAGATTATATTGGATGTGACAGACAGTTTCTGGCCAAACGCTGTGTTTGTCCAGGCTTGGTACTTCCAACCCCAGAATGTGAAACCTCTGCCCACATTTGCAATGCCCAATAGTCAGTTGCTGATAAATCCAGTGTTTGTCATGAAAGAGACAAAATCCTTTTCTACAGCAGCTGCCTGGGGCTATCTGTGACCTTCTCTGTGTTCCAGACCAGTCTGTATTTCTCTACAGTAGCATCAGCTGCATCTTGTTTATAAATAGAGTGTGAGTGTGTGCAGCAGTGCAGTACTGTGTAAGTGTCTTTGGAAAGGTTTGATTTTATTTTTTTTGCTTATATGTAAGCAATTCTTAGATGCTAAGTGAGGAGTCCTTGATCCTGCTTGATACTTCTCCTGCTGGAAATTATAAACAGCCAGTGCTTCAGTACAGCTGTCTTGGGAGAATCAGCTTCAGGAAGGGCTACTGAGCCACTTCTGAAAAGGAGAGAGAAAGAAAAATTGCAAAAGAGAATGAGGATGTTTCAAACTTTCTTGAGGATGTTTTGAGTACCCCCGAAGGCGAGGGTTGCTGCGTGAATCTAAATGACTGCTACTAATGCATTAATAAGCACCAAACTCGTTAAATTCATGTTTTTATTATTATTTTGAAAGAGAAGATATTTGTGAGATTATTTGCCCAATAAAAATCTAAGTGGCTCTATCAGTATGAATATAAGGGTCTAGGTTTCTTCTGTCTCTTATTTTATTCTTCCTTTCTGACTGAATATTTTTCTGCAGATTACTTGAGTAATACCTTTATTTTCACTGCTTAGAACTGCTTTATTTACTAAAGGCGCAAGTTTGGGCCCCCAAAAAAGCACTCAATCATGCTTTCAAACAATTTTCAGAAGACCACCTACGCGGTATCCTTTCGCTAGTGATGATTTGAAAATGTTTGTATTATCGCTCCCCCTTCTGGTTCCCTGTCGCATGTTTTGTTTTGGGTATGCAATATGGAGATGCACTCTTATTTTTAGTGCAACATAGAGCTCTGCTTATTCAAGCAAAGTTTGACTGATAAAAAAACCTTTCCTGGTGCTCTGTCATACCTCGAGTACCAAGGTATAAACACTGTTTTAATATACTGTTAGGCAAGTACGTGAAAATCTCATGCCCAGTCAATTTCAAAATGCTGTCTTTCTAAATCCAGACCTGAAATTCTATAGTTCAGGAGTATCTATTTGTGAGTGTGGTTTTTTATACAATCAGAGTTTACATGTCAAATGTAAACATACATACTCATGTGTCTCATGGATGCACATATAGTTCATGTACTTGCACAGGCGTCATGTAGCTGCCCATGTCATACTCTGCATTTTTTATTCTAAGTGGCCTGTTAGATTTCTACTCAGGCGATTCCATGATATATGAACCCATAGAGATATAACGCTTTGAGCAGCGGCCCATTGTTGACTTCCTTTGCATTTTATCGATCTAGATCAGAACAGTGCTTGGTCTTGGACTAAGCAGCTTCCTTTTTCTGCAGAAAATGTCATTTGTCAGAACTCAGGCAGGGAAACAAGTTTGACTATTTAGTAGCAAAAGCAGCGTCTTATTTTAACATGCTGCGTCATTTTATTCACACCAAAAGTGGGTCGGGAACATTGAGAAAAACAGGAAAAATGTCACCCCTGTACTTGTTGGAGAAAGTTCTGAGTTTGAGTTTTAGGCTGCCTGAGTGTGGGACCATTGCCAGTGACAGGCACGCTGGGGTAGCAGGCCTAGGTACGAAGTCTCTAGATAATTCACCCGTGCAAAATTAAAGGTGTGGTGTTGCCGCAAATTTGCCTGCCTCCATGGATCAGAAATACATATTTGCCTGCCTCCATGGATCAGAATGTATATCTTTTAGTCCTGGTTTAAGGATGGAGAAATTAAAAGGATCAGAAAGAGAGGTGACAAGCACACTAATGCAGCAGACTAGTCTTCTGTTTCTCGCTCTTATACACTATCTCCCGGTCTTTACTGCTTCTCTAAAATGTCGCCTCCTTACTTCTCCCTCTCAGGTGACATCCAGATTGGAATGGTGGATAAAAAGGGCCAGTTAGAAGTAGAAGTCATTAGAGCCCGTGGCCTCACACAAAAACCTGGCTCCAAATCTACCCCAGGTAAGGAAAAAAAATAGACAATATATGAATAGAAAACAAGAATATGAAATATGTTGATGAACCGGGGATTGGATATTTTTTGAGCTCCTCATTAGCTGTTGCTACATTTGCATTTGCTAGGTTTGTTTTTCAACAAGGAATGCTTGCGTGGATATATCCTTGCTACCAATGTCCACTTCTTACCACCTTACATCTACTTTGCGTGCCACCTTTCAAGGAATGATTTTCAGCAACTCAACATCCATTCTGGAAGGAACATTTGCAGAAATATTTCTGCGTATCTTAGGGAAGTCATGTATCTCAGAGGGGCTTTGTCAATGCAGATGAAGTCGTTTGTGTTTGTTCCACATCAAAACAAGAGATAGAAAACAAATGAAAGTGCTTTGAACAAACAGCTTAGCGGACTCAAACGCCAGAATCTTCTGTACACAACAGTGCTTCAAGAAGACAGCGGGTTATGTTAGTGCCAGTGTCAATAATTTGTATAATGAATGAGATTTAATGTGATATCATTTTATAAGGACATTTTTTGAAGTTCTAGGTATTTATAGAAATCTGTATTTGAGATTTATAATCACTACCACAACCACCGCTTACCGTAACAACAGTTATTTTAGATAACATTTTTCCAAAACGGTACTTTACAACCTCCTTAGGAGCTGAAGATGAAAGAGAAATTAATGTCTGTTATCAGAGTGACTTAGTTTTAAATATTGCTTTCAATGAAACATCTAAGTATTTTCTTTTGAAATATTTCTGACCCCCAAACATACATGGAGACTCCAGAGTAGCTATCAGTGACAGTTAATTCTTGGCAAAAGAAAGTGTTTTTAAAATGAGAGACATGAAATGTAATTGTTGTTAGCAACATCTTAGATCATTGCATTCAATGTTTATAAAAATGAAATTGATTTCTTATGGGCTGTGTCATTTATTTTATGAATATAATTGTATTCAGATTATACAGTGAAGATAACGCATTTCATTTTCTTTCCGCTCAGCTTCCTTTTAAGGCATTTATCCTCCAGCTGAGATGTGCAATGTAGAAGTTTTTAAGTCCAAACATAAAATTCATGATGTTCTGTTTGCAGCTCCGTATGTCAAAGTGTATTTATTGGAAAATGGAGCGTGTATAGCCAAGAAGAAGACAAGAATTGCACGGAAGACCCTTGATCCTTTGTACCAACAGACACTGGTTTTTGATGAAAGTCCACAGGGTAAAGTCCTTCAGGTCAGTTGCTTCTTAATCCCATTTTAGGCTATCATTTGGAGAGGCACTTGCATGTTTACTTAAGTTTAAGCAATATGCGTAAACCCATTCCCAACTCACTAAGCATTTCATTTTATAAATACCGGCAAACACATCCTTGTGGCTTGTGGTTTCAGACCTGCAAAATGTCTGGCTGTATGAGGCATTTCTCTTTTGTTGCCTCTCGCTCCTGTCCTGCCGTTAGATTTTCTCACAAGAGGGAGCAGTCATTCATCCTTAAGAGTAACATTTTCCGTATGCTACACGTAACAGCAGGAGTGAATTTGTAAGTGTGGGTTTGGGGACAATGCTGAACCTGTATTTTATGTTCTTGCAGGTAATAGTTTGGGGAGACTACGGCCGAATGGACCACAAATGCTTCATGGGAGTTGCCCAGATCCTTCTGGAGGAACTGGATCTGTCCAGTGTGGTAATAGGCTGGTATAAATTATTTCCACCTTCATCACTAGTGGATCCAACCTTGACTCCCCTGACACGCAGGGCTTCCCAGTCGTCTCTGGAAAGTTCAACCGGGCCTCCCTGCATTAGGTCGTAGTAGCAGGTGCTGTCTAATAAAAACGTCACCCAGGATAACAATTGGAACCAGATATTCACATGATCAAAAAACACTGTTGGAGAGAGACAATCAATTCTGTTTTGCTTGTAGTAGCTATCCAAAAATAAGTCTGAGTTGTTTGTCGAGAGGTGGCTTAAACTGACAGAACAAAGGTATATCACATACGGCCAATCGATTAGCAGCTATCACCGATGCTTATAGTGATGAAAAAGAAAAAAAAATGGAGAGAGGAATCTTTAAATTCGACCTAAGTCAAAGAATGAGCCAAACTGGAAGCTCTCGCTCTGTTAACAGTGTTGCATTTTTCACATTTTGACAGAGCCCTCAAGCAGTGTTACCTTCCTGGTGTTCAGCAGTTTTTCTGTACTTGTCACTTCCACTAGTTTTTTGCCATGTGATTCTGCTAGTTTTGTAGAAGTCCTCACAACGCTAACAGAGACCCTTCTTTTCTTTTCCTAAACCAAACAAAAAAGGGCTGAAGCATATCTCTGTAAGCATCCTTGAAGTGTTCAACAGCCACAGTTAATGATTCCAGCGAGTTCAAATGGTTTCTCAGTTCTGGTACTTCCAAGTCTCTCACGTGGGAACCCAGAACAAATGACCAATCGAAGTTATATTCTTAAAAATGAATACTCATCACAGTGCCACTTTTTCTTTGTAAAAAGCAGATATGTTTGCATTATATATAATAACTTTTATGTTTATGATGTTTTGCATGGAAGAGTTTTGAAGAATTCTGCAACTACTGCTGGGGACTGGTATAAAGCGGCTTTAGTCCTAATTTTGACATTGAATATGTTACTGGTAATGCAGTTTTCCTCCCAGAAATGGAGAGGAAATATTTACGTTTCTGTGTATAAATGTATATTTGACTTCCCAAAATGTTGACCAGGAATGGATTGAGCATATGACACTTTCAGCTGTACCCAGGCTTCTCTGATGTGTGTCGCTTCAGACGCACCTGTCTGCCCTGGATAGAGCATGGTATGAGTTGTTCAGCGTTTCACTGGAAATTCCAGTTGAAATATTCTGCACTTACAAATGTTTTTATCAAATTTTAGTTTACATTTCTTTGAGATTGATGCAAGCACAAGGCTTGATTTTTTAACGCAAGATATCTTACTTTTTGGAGAAAAAAAAAAGTCAACTTTCGATTTGCTTTTTATTCATTTGAGTTCTTCTTGGCCTTGAAATCCCTTGTGATATTCTGTAAATGTGCGAACAACTGCAGATTCCTGCAGGTGCATTGATATGTTTCCCCTCCTTTTACAGGCCATTCGATTTTGTGATCACACAACTAGAGCAGCATGACTTGGAACTGTTCAAAGCTGCATGCACGTTTTGTAAAAAGAGACGACAAAGGTTATTTAATAATGTATGTTAGTTCCACATAGGCCAGCTTGTATGTTGCATGTACTTGTACAGTTTGCTCGTAATTACTATACTGAAGTAACCAAGAAATCTAAGCCATCCATTTTTCTTATAGACATTTTGCAGGTTTTAGCCAGGCTAGGTCTGTGAGTCTGGTGCTAAATGTCTATAGATGGACTTTATTTTTTACCCTATGGAAAACGTGATGTAGTACGGACCAAATTCCTTCTAATAACTATTTTGGTGTAGATTCCTACTGTGGGGCTGTAACACATGTAGAAACTGTGTACACACTAGGTTTTAATTCATAGACATACTGCCTGCACCAAGTGAACTATTTATTATTACTCAACACGTGGGAATTACTCTGCCCATCTTTCCATAGGGCGCAGATTGGTTACTGCTCGACCTGCTGAGCAGGAAGAACTCAAGCATTGGTGCACTACTACTAGATCCTGTTCTGTCTTAGTGGCCAAGAACCAACTAGTTATAATTCGATAGTATCTTTCTATTTTGACCACTTGTCTTAACACTCCCCTGTGCTTTTAAATGAACTTCCAACTCATGTTATGTAAACATGTTTAATAAAATTTCCTTTTCATGTCCAGTGTAGTAGTTGTGCTCTCTGTATGTTCTGAGGTTCACCTGTGATTCTGCTCGGTGCAGGACTGTGTGAAATGTGTTAAGGAACAGTAAAATGATAAGTAATTTCTATGGTTCTTTTGATCGCTGTAATAGTGTATGTTGAAATCTGGGGCCAAAAACTGAGGCCTGGTGAAATTCGTGTTTGGTTGGCTTCCTTTTCACCAAGAAAGGGGCCAAATTGTGCTCTCATTCACTGAAGCAGGCAAATTGCAGTCGAAAAACAAATTTAGCCAAATGACAGTCTGGTGAAATCAAGTCAGCTTATTGGAGTTGAGTGATGCTGTGTCTGCTTGCACTAGGTCAGCGAGACGGTGCGTGGTAGAGCCAGACACCAGCTCTCCGTTTGGTGTGTGCCGAGCCTTGAAGACATGAGAACAACTCCTGATCTTTTGCGCTTTTTAAACCCAGAAATACGTCCTTGTGTTGTAATGCCCTTATGGACAATGCTTTACAGAAATTTACTTGAGAGCAGAATTTGGCGCTAAATTTTATTAGAGAAGCAAAGGTTGTGTACTTTGTTTGGTTTCTAGTTTTCCATGTCCCACAGATACCTGATCACAATTTAAAAATAACATAAAGACAATATTGCCTCACTTTGAACACTTTTGTTTATTACTTTATTTATCTGAATACATGGTTAAGCTACTGAAAAAAATGAATAATTAAACATGGTAAATCTCTGAACAAAAGGCATGTTACATTTCTGCTTCTGTGTGGTGGGAGTGATCTGTTTAAATAGAGAATTTGTCATACTGTTGCAAAAAGTCCTCAATTCCATACATCTCATGGCTTTGAACATTGTGTCCAATACTAGGATATCTTTTCCTTTCTGATCCTGAGCAATAAATTAAGTTTAGCGTTTCTGATCCCCCGCTAGAGCACAGAATATGTGGCAGGGAAAGAACACACTGAACTGTTTCGTTGATGGTATTTCTGATGAACAGGGTTCGCGTATGCAAAGACTTCAGGAGCAAAGTGTGCTGGGACAGGTAAGTGGTGTGCTGGTCTCCTTTCCCAGGGACTCTTGCCTTTTAAAAACTCATTGCCGGGTGTTGGGATTATAATACACAGATACATCAGCTTTAGTTCCCTCCTGGTTTTCCCTTGAGAATGCAGTATTGCCTTATATGTCATACACAGGGGAATAGCCTAAACTCATAATCCCTGTCGTATAATCAGTTATTTTCTTGGTGATGAATACATGTTCTAAATTTTGTATTGACATGCAAATTTAGTGTCCCTCTTGATGGGCAAAGAAAAAGCTTTTGGCCTTGGCCTTTGTGTTAGAGAGACACCAGAACTGCTGAGTAGGTAGGACAAACCAGAATGTCATGATCTCATTCCTTCGTAATTCCCAGAGAAATAATACATGCGCTTTTGTTGCCTGTATTCCCTAAGAAATGACAGTCCCAAAAGTCGAGTTCAGCCCAGGTATGACATGCTATACATACAAGAAAAGTTCAGAGTGCATCTCCAGTGGCTCTTCTGTGTACTCCAAGATTTTACTTATAGCCTAAGACTCATCCTCTATCAAGTCAGCTGTTCGCTGCTCCCATGTAGTTGCTACTCTACTGTCCACAGCCCAGTTAACTCTAGAAAAAAGGATTATGGGACTCATACTCTTCTTTTGCCTTAAGAGAAGTCATGGCAGACAGCCATGTGGCTCTTCATTTAAAGCACAAATTCTCACCCCATCTTGCCCCACTATAATTCTGCAAACGTAGAAGAAAGCAGTCTGCAAGAAAGCAGATTGTTGTTGAAGGATGTGGTTTCTCAACTCAGCTAATGAATTTTCTGGCCATCTTGAGTGATTAAGAACTCTGCTAACATCTATCAAGTGTAACGAGTCTCAATTAGTACCTCACTCCCAGGCTGCCCACTTCTCTCCAGGAGAAAAAGAAAATGCACAGGTCATGTACGTATTTTGTCAGTGTCTGCATGTATGACCATGTATGCTGGAAGTTAAATACCATTGTTATGAAAGAGATGGTTTGTGGCAGGCATGTCACATAGATCAAATCTTCTTCCGAGTTTTGTGATCTAAATTCATCCTAGCTGAGGTGCCAGAGATAGGAGGGGAAGCCATAGATAGGAGGAAAGGCATCCTGGAGAGATGAGTTGGAGGTTTCAGCTGCTGGCTGCTAGAAGTGAATCACCTAAGGGTTTCACAGAGTCCCACAGGTGGCCTCTGGAAAAAAATTACCTTCAGAAAGTGATGAGCAGCAATTCATTATTATCATGCTCCTTGGACAACTCAGAATTATTCATCCTGATCGCCTTCAATATGTCTACAATTTCAGAGCCCTGCTGAAATGCAGTTACAAATCAGGAGTGGCCCACTTGGTAAAGCACAGGGTTTGTAGTGAAAGGCTGTGTGAAATCACCATCTGCGTGGATTTTCACTATGTCTGCAACAATTTATTTAGGTGAGGATTTAGAGTCTTTTTTCATGTTTCCTTCTTATTTATATCAGTGGGATGTAGGCCTCTGGGTGACTTTGAGAATGTAGATATCAGTCGTTGCACCTGGATTTTGTGATGGATAAAATGGGTGCAAGTGTAATTCCCCATTTCAAAGACATTGCATAGATACGGAAAGAGCAGAACATAAATGTGGAAAAAGCAGTTGTGAGCTCCTCGGAGGCTAAAATGACATGCTAAGATCCAATCTTCTTGTCCTGGCTCCCAAAGTCTTTTTTACACTGTCAAGTATCAGGAAGCAATATCTTCTGTACTAAACCTTGTCACTACATCTCAGCTGCAGCCAAATGAAAGTTCCTGAGCCACACGCCTAAGCAGCACACTGCTGTTTATACCAACCACTGTACAAAGCGTCTTTCATGGAGAAGATGTCTTGTGTTCCAGTCTCCTGCTCTTCAGGAAGTACAGCAGCGCTACCACCTCTGCATTTTTAGTACCACTGCTTCGTCTTTAGTCCCTGTTGTCTGACCTGAATTGCTTAGGCTGTTCCACGACAGCAGGTCTCCACAGAAGAAGGCTGCCCAACCATTCTGTGATTCTATGTACATGCTCAAGCACTAATTATAGAAGACAGAATAATCTAATTTAGAACAAGCTCATACAAGGATCAGTAAGGCAGTCCTAGATATTTTAAGAAATTTTGTCATGCAATTTAACCCCCCAAAATTAAGATTTGAAAATCCAGCAAATGCTGTAAAACAGAACTTCAATTAAATGTTACTACT